CAAGGGATCTTGACGGACTCACCCATGTGCTCGATTGCAACCCACGAATTCGCAAAACCTCGTTCCTCCTTGATCAACCTTCCGTCTTGGATATTGTATGCCAGACTGACGCTTGGCACAACGGCAATCTTGCCGTGGCCAAGATTCCACAGGTCTTTGCACAAGAGTGTTGGCTCGCCGGTGTGGCATTCGCCCGGGTACGACCTTCTGAAGTCGAGCTTTTTGGCAAGAAATGGTTCGCCAGTCATGGCGACGCCTCCGTTCCAGCAGGCAAAGACCTGCAGAGGCTTGCGGCTGAGGTAGCGGTCCTGAGAGTAGGGCTCGTTCCAGAACATGTTGGCCACGTCGCTCCACTGCTCTCCCTTGGGCGTCCTGTCCGGAATAGGCAAAAACGTATCACCGTTGATGCCTCGAGAAATCCAGGAGTCGTAAAAAGACGGCTCTCCATTGTGCGGCGCGAATCGAAGGAAGTGGTAGTCCATGGCGCACGTCATGTCGGCGCCTTGAGTCTGCTTCTGGTACGCAAGTTCCAAGATATCTTCCGTGCAGGCGGCCACATCGTTGAGGAAGACTATGGTTGCATTTGGGTCGTAACGATTGGCTTCGGCCATCATGGGCTCGAGGGCTAGGTTTCGAAGCTTGGCCAGCTTGCCAATTCGGTCCCCGCTGTGGGAGTCGATGCTGCTCGTTTGCAGATAGTACGCAATCCCGACCTTGTCGAGGTGCGCCTTCAAGCGATAGAGTGTCTCGTAAGTGCCGTCGGTCGAGATACCCTCCACGATGGAGATTGCGCAGTTTTCGGGGCCGATGATGTCGACAGCTTCAAGAACAGCTCCAATGAGCTGCGGAAGCAGATCTACAACCTGGCGCAGGTCAAGAGCGAAGAAAAAGTGACGCTTGCTCGTGTTGTCGACCGGCTTCAGAACGCCGTAGCGCGTAGTGTTCGGTGCAGGGCAGGCAACAATCGGGTAGCCGCCGTTCTTAGGGTCCATAATGGCCTTCACATATCGGCCTGCATCGTCTGCTTTATTCGGGTCTCCCTCGGTGAGCGCTGGTTGCACCCAACCGGGTGAGGAAGCATTCATCCAGCTGCCACCATATTCTACACCCGAATTAGCACCTCGACCGCGGAACGAGGTTGGCAGACTCACGCTCTGCTGTCCACGGTGTGACAAAGTACGACACCAGTGGCTGATGGAAGAGAAGGAAGAAGCCCGTGATTAGGATGAAGACGACTACGGCGATGAAGGGCGTCTTCAGCCGTCGAGGCTGGTGAAAGTTGGCGAGCATGCCGAGGCCGTTACGCCAATTGTCTGGTTCTAGACAGAGTTGCAGAGAGATCGTTTATATACTAGGTCGTCGAGTGCAGGTTGAGGAAGATGTAGGCGAGACCGACTTTGGGAAGTCAGGATGTACAACAGGGTAGAAGGAAAAGAAGAAGAAAGAGCGAGAGAGAACCGACGAGGTCGTCAGCTCAGGAAGTTCATGCAAGACGGCTCCGTCGTGCAGTTGAACGTAGGAGTAAAAGATGCTAAGAGTCGCCAGAAGGATCGTGGAAGGGGAGCTAGAAGCGGGGACTGGGAGCTCATATCACTTTCGGGTGGCACCGAGAGAGTATGGGTATGGGTACGGGAAAGCTCAGGCCTCGATCTGTCCCTGCTGCTTGGTTTGAGGCGCGAAATCCCGAGATGCGCTGCAGGAAGAATGTGGCATAAGGTAGGACGAGACAAGGCAGGAGACGACGGAAAAAGGTTATGGTTCCACGAGGCGGGCAGGCGTCGGGGTCAGCCCAGGCAAGGCGAGGTGTAGAAGAAGTAACACAGTAGCCGGGCACGAGCGGCGGTAGGAAGTGTGTGCCTTAATGACCAACCGGTGCTCTTCCCTCAGTAGGTGTTTCTGTGCAATTGGATGTTTGGGAGACGGGATGGAGCCCGAGCGATGTGAGGCGCAGCATCCAATTGGAAAGGGTAAGGGGAGGAGGAGAAGGAGGAGGATGAGGAGAGAGTTTATCTCAGAAAGGAGGCGGTGGACGGAGGACGTGTCCGCTGAGTCCACACGGCGGTCGTAGGCAGGTACGGATAGGTAGGTAAGGTATGTCGACAAGGGCAGTGTAGGACAAAAGCCAGAGACGAAAAGGCAACACGAGGTAGTCAACCAGACGGTAAGGAAAGCCAAGGTCTTGAGGTCTCAGAGGAGTTGACGCAGACGGGGTGGGCGGGCTACGGATACATAACGAGGTAAGGTAGGCAGGCCAGGCAGACAGCTTAGTTAGGTTCTTACCCACGCACAGAGAGTCGCGGCCGACGTAAGGACAACCCAGCAAGGAGTAGAAAGAAGCTGGGGAAACCAATTTGCATGTTTTGTTCTGGGTCAAACTTGGCAGCAGGTTCCGCCATGCTATGGTAAGGTAGGTACAGTACTATGTATGTAGCATTACCGTAGGCAGGTAGGAAGCGGGAAGCGGGATGGGCTGGGCTGGGCTGGCCTTACCCGGGAGGGACTTGTGTGCACATCGCACTATGCGACCCTCGCAGCAGCCTCCACCTCACGTCCACGTCCGCATCCACGTCCACGTCCCCAGGGCGCGGCGGACCCAGTTCCGGGTGGCTGCAAATTTGATAATCACCTGTTGCGTGTCCACTGCGATTCCTTCGCCCACTTGCAGTTCCCATTTTTTTATTGTAAAAGTTCCTCCTTGCTTGCTTGGCTGGCCAGCTCATTCTCTCTGTTTCCGTGCAGAGTACAGATACAGAGTACAGCAGGAAGGATTCAATGTGCTCTTGTGTTACGGCTGAAGGGGGCCCGCTTTGTTCTGTCTGCTGTTACAATGCCTCGGGTGGAAACATGTGGGAGTAGAGCAGCAGGCAGAGAAGTTGAGATGAGAAGAGGCGAGGCGTGCAGTACACGGTTCTTTACACGGTGGCTAACATGTGTTGAGTTCCACGTTCCGTCAGGGCATGTTTCACCTTGTCCTTCACTTACTCGCAGCCGCCAAAACATGCCCCCTCCAGCCATCACTATCACTGGCAGTCAGCCTTTTGAATCTTTTGCCGATAAAAATATACCAAGCAGGTGTCTAGCTGGGCACCAGGCAACTCGGGATAGCGAGTGCCGATCATCATGGCTCAGTGCCGCCGTTGCAACCTTGGGAAATAGCACACAACGTGGCTGACAGCATGTCGTTGCAACCTCTCAGCCTCCTCCTGCTACGGAGTATTTATTACACAGTAAGTAAGTACACGCTGCTTCCTCCCGCTGCCTGCGCGCATCATCGAGGTCCAGGGAACAAGCACGGAAAGTGTTTCGTCCGTCTCGACAGGTCTCAGACATGCTGCTTGCTGCCCACCGTGAGTTCGAAATCGAAATAACAACAAAAACCAAATAGTAAAAAGTCAACCCCATAAAAGATGGGATGGGCGCCTCCCACTCGGCCGGCCAAACGCAACTGTTTCTGTCTGTCCGTGCCTGCGGCGGTATCCGTACAGCGTGCTGCGGCACGACGACGCACTGAGGTTCTGAATGACACCCCCTGCAGCCCTCCAATAGGCCGTCCCCCTGCCAGAGAACCGCGCCCCCCTTTAGCCGGCGCACGCTCGCCCGATTCTGCTCACAGGGTCGTCGTGAGTGGCTCGTCGAAATCTACCTTACCTCACCTTGCCTTACCTTAGATTGCCCGGTACACACAAGCTGGGCGTCTCCCGCAACCCCTGGGCGGTCTCGGCGATCCTCTCCTATGGCTCTTTGCTGTTGAATTCAATGCAAATTTCGCCCGACTCCGTCTAACCCCTTCAAGCACCTTACCTTACATACAGCATCAACTCTCTTCCAGGTCTTCTCCATCTCCAGACGACGCGCACCCTCACCTCACCGCCGAGAGCCAAGGAAACTCTGTCCTTGTGTGTGTGTTTGACTTTGGGGGAAAAGTTCAGACCGCCCCAAAACATCCATCTCAGTAATAGCCCCCGCGCGATGAAGCAGACTCGCTAGCAGCAAAGAAAGGCTGAGGAGGTGCTGCTTGCGCATCCGGTACTCGAGTATTCCTTGCCCTCAATGCTACCTGACCCCACGCTTCCCTCCCAACCGGGCGTGCGGCAAGGTCCAGCCACAGGGCGTGACGACCATCTCCTCGTCCACGCTTTTTCTTTTCTTGTGACGAACTCACAGCGTGGGCTTTCTTTCCTTCTCACCTCTTTCACCGGCATGCTCCATGTCCACCACTCGGCTTGACTTGCTGCGCACCTATGCAGCCATGCCCCCCCATCTCGCCGAACAGTGTTCCAGACTGTAAAACTTGACGGCTTGGCGTTCGATTGCTCTGGGCAGTCGGCTCCAAAGACAATCGTCGCTGCAACCTCTCTTGCGCCGGGCGAAACGACGAGTTGAAGTGACGTCTGTCAGATGATCGGTGCCTGCCATTCCGTCCCGTGCGATAGGGTGCTCCCGGGCGGCAGTCGACCAGAATTAATTCCCGAAAAATGGTGCCGCCCCCGTGCATATACGCCAAGCACTCGAACCATTGAAAGCTGGCCTCGAGTCTAGGGAGGCCGTCGTGCCACCAGCGCCGTATCTTTTCTTGCTTCCATCAGTCTTCGTGAGGCCATACGTAAGCTTCTCCAAGTCCAGGGCCACTCAGATGGAAGAAAGATTGCAGAGGCACAGCCCACGGGCTTGAACCTGAACCATTGGCAGGAGGGCCAGCAGTTCCCCATCGCGGGAAACAGGACTGGAGCTCGACGCGCGGACACCGGCATCTCCACACCCAGCCACGAACGCCCCATGACTCGCCGTCCCGATTGAGCAGAGCTCCCTAATCGGGCGACCTGGAGGAATTCGTCTGCCTGGAATACGGGATCCGCAACCAACTGTCTACTATGCAGCAGTTTCAAACTTTGAATCTCTTCGCTGCGAGGAACACAATCCTTCGAGCATGGGAATGGGCATCTCCCATTGGCAACTCGCATGAAGAGCTTTACACCTGTTCAGGCATCGCTGTCTATAGTCTACGAACTCAGCAGTCTCGTCACCCTCTTTGCAACTCCGTCTTCGAACTGCGTCACCCCGCCGTCCAGGATCGTCAGGTTCCCGGTCTTCAACCTGTATACCGCCCGTCGCCTGGAGGCAGCTTCATCCTCATTGTCTTGCTCGCTCTCCGAGTCTTCAATCAACCCCTCAACTGCACCCCGCATGAACCACCGGTCATGGCTGACGAGAATGACCGCCCCCTCCCAGTCCCTCAGTGACTCACGCAAGGCCGTGACCGTCTCATAGTCGAGATGAGTGGTTACCTCGTCGAGAATAAGACAGTGCGGCCGTTGCCAGAGAATACGAGCAAGCTCGCAACGCACGAGCTGGCCGCCAGACAGCTTTCTGACTGGGATGTCGGACGCAACTCGACCGGGCAATCCAAGACTGCCAAGGATCCCACGGAGCTGTCCTTCGTCCAGCTCTCCATCAACATCCTTTGTCAGTAACGAAAGAGCGGTCAGTGAAACGTCGTCTTGGCCCATCTGTTGCAATCCTTCGACGGCATGTTGAGAGTAATATCCCAGCTTCAGCCGCGGATGGGTTGTTATCATCCCGGATGAAGGCTTAATCTCATCAACGAGGAGCTTCACCAAGGTCGATTTGCCAGCCCCGTTCAGCCCGAGGATGCCCACTCGGTCACCCTTGTGAACGGACAGGTTGACGTCCTGCAACACAGCGGGTGTCTGTATCTTTCCTCTCGCCTTAGTCGGGTAACGAAACGTCACGTTCTCCATCGATATGAGCGGGCCAGGAAACCGCAGATCTGGAGGCTCGGGCAGGTCAATGAATATCGGCCGCTCATCTTGCGGTATGTCGATATCGGCTCGGGCAGTCAGGTGGTACCCCTCGAGGTCGCGATTGAGCTTGAATCTGCCGCCCTTTGCGCTGACCTGGAGACCCCAGCGGTCGTCGAGCTTCTTTTGACGAGACTTGGCTTGGCGTAGCTTGTTCTGATCGTCATTTGCCTTCCCTGCTTTGATGTTGTTCGTTATGCTCTGCTGTATATGAGCCTTCTGCTTGTCCTGGGCGTCCTTCATCTTGGTCAACCACAGCTTGCGCTCCGACTGCGACGCCTCATATGTAGGAAGGTCGCCATGAAAATACGTCAACCCCTTATCCTTGAGAATGAGAAGATCGGTGCAAAGCGTTATGAAGTCTCTGTCGTGAGATACGAGGATGAGGGTTGGCGCATTGTCGTCGTCCTGCAAAGACTCGAGGTACTTCTGTAACCAGATGATTCCCAGAAGGTCAAGGAAGTTGGTGGGCTCATCCAGTATCAGGATATCGGTTTCCTGGAGAAGGGAAACTGAGAGGGCTGTCCGCATTTTCCATCCACCGGATAGACTTGACACTGGCTTGGACATGTACGCCTCCGAGAAACCAAGACCAGTCAAGATTCGCTTGGCTTTCAATTCGGTTTCGGCAACTTTGGTTGGCTCAACTTGCAATTGAAGGTCTGCAAGCATGTCCAGTGCCTCTTGCGTATCGTTCTTCAGAGCTTCGGCGGATATGTCGCTTTGCGGTTGATCCAGCCTAGGCCCATGTCAGCGTCCACGCTTTTTGATAACGGAGGGCAGCTACCTACAAGATCTGCGACTCCGCGACAGTCTTCTCGAAAGCCTTTAGTTGTTTTCGAGCTGCCAGTCCTCTATCACCACTTCGCAACCTGGCATTCTTATCGAACTGGAAGAGTCGCTTCTGATTATTCTCATGTCGAAGGGCACGAACGGCTCGGACCGTCGCATAGGGATCGGTGCTGTTGATGCCATCGGACAATGCTTCCGTCATTTAGTTTGGTACTGTCGCAAAACAACTTGGCCATACATACCTCTTATATCCTGTTCAACATCTGATCGAGCGGTTGCCTTCTCAATGACATGCTCCAAGACGCTGCTGAGCTGCTCTGATCCAATCGAAGCATCGCTTGGCCGGGTATCCGCGTCAGTGGTGCCGGCATCTGTCTGTTGAAGAATGGATATCCGAGTATCCTCGGGGATACCAGGAATCAGCTTCTCGGAAATGGCCTTGAGCAGCGCTAGGAGTGAGGGTCAGTGTTGATCTTGGGATGCGGACATGCTAAACTTACTCGACTTGCCAGACCCATTCCTGCCAATGAGTGCATATCTTTGCCCGGCCTTGATATGCAGCTTGGTATCAACGAGAATCTCGGTTCCCTCGCTCCTCGCCTTGGCCTTGCCCTTGGCGCCGGGTTTGGTACCCGAACCTGAAGTGACGGTGATGTGGAGACCGTCCACCTCCAACTGCAGGAGATTGGTCAGCTGCGAAAGGTGTATTTCTTTACAAATCAGGGGATACCTCGCGATGATCCGTGTTCTGTATATTGAATCGTGTTTGCTTGCTGGTGCAGAGGATCGTGGCCACTGATTCCGAGGCGATGGACGTCATTGCTCCAACAGAGGTCGAGGGACGTATCTGGGCAGTATCGATCAAAGAGCAAATCAAAAACAAAAACAAGCCGGTCACAGATCAGTCACGCAGAAAGAGAGAGAAAGATGAAGCCGTCCACAATGGAACCACGGGTGCGGATGATGCAGGACTCTCTCCAGATTTTATTGATTATATCGTCGGCCGGGGTCGAGGCTGTCTGTCTTTCAGCCCCCTCCGTTGCTGACGGAAGTAGGTTGAGAACCGGAGGTGCTCGATCGCCTTTCAGTGGCGTCGCACTTGTCGCTCCAGCACTAGCTAACGTCTAGACGGTACGTACTCTTGTGGCATCCAATGCAGATTGCAGTTGCGCTGCGCTCCGTGATGTGAGTCACGCCGAAGACAGCCGTCCCCGACCCTCTTTCCCGGGCGCCCATTCGGCGCTTTCCTCCCAGTCTCGGAGGTGTCGCAGCTGCCGGGGTGACTCAATCCACGGAATGCACCACCACTTGGCGAACCGTCATCTCTGCTTCAGTATGGTGCCCATCGCTACGGACGCAATAACTCTCAAGCGCCATGCTCAGAACAGGGGAAGTGAGTCTATGAAGGTCTTGGTGTCCTTGGCGTAGACCGACTCCGCGTCCGCAATCTCATGGATCTTCAACTCCTTCTTCGCCCACTTCCTCGCCGCGCCGTACTTCCCAGCTCGTGACGCGGCATACGCGGCATATTTGTATGCCTTGCTGAGGTAGTCCACCAGGCCGACCTCCTCCACAAGCTTCACCAGCTTCTCCGCATAAGGCGACACGTCTCCTCCAAACGAGTCGCTCCCAAGCTCCCGCTCGATCAACCCCATCAGCCTCTTCATCTCCACTCTCTTCAAATCGTCGGCAGCTCCTTCGCCCTCGTCCCTCGCCGAACACGACTGGCAGCTGCATTCGAATCCCCACTGCGCAAGCCTGGCCCTTCTCGCCTCCGTCGTCTCCGTGAGCGGCGCATACGTGACCGTCACCTCCTCGTCGGCCGCGATGTCTCTCCCGGCCCAGATGATCCTCCTCCCGTCGACCGACACGCTCGCAGAGTTTGGCGTACACGCGTGGTTGAGCTTCGCGATGCGCGGAAAGATGCCAATGGTCCCGCCCGCCATCGTGAACCCGTTCGTCCGGAAAATGAGCGCCTCCCTGCTGAACGCCGCGTCGTCCATCTCGCGGTGCTCCGGGCACGACAGATACGCCGCCCGCGCCGTCGCGTTGAGCGTCTCAAAGGCCCTATCGACGGCCGTCGCGATCGCATCGAACGCAAAACCCTGCCCGCTCACCAGGCTCCCCGGATCGACCGTGAAGAGCGGCGTCTCGTCGATGATGCGCGTGCCCTTGGGGATTTTGCGCCGCGCAAAGATGCCGAGGCCCTTACCTGGCGAGGGGCGAACCTCCCACAGCCCGTCTTCTGATTTGAGATCTTTGTGTGAAATTGTCAGCTGGGGGTGTGTTCATCTCAAGTGAATTTAGACAGGTAATGCGCTCACTTGTTCCATATCGGACGCGAATCTCCTCGGAATCGCCCAGTCCATCCGGCACGGCCCCGTCGGCGAGGGGGAAGTCGCCGCCTGTGTCGAGAACCCCCAAATTGCTCTGCTCGTGACATGAATCCGAGTCGCAGATACGATCGCGAACCTGCGCGTCACCATCGCTGCCGTCATAACCGAAAACCCGGTTTGGTTGCTGCGAGACCGCGAGCCATAGCCAAAGTAGTACACGGGACGATCTCATGTTTTTCGGGCCGTGTGTGTGTCTCTAAACGCCGCAGTTCAGACGAAAAAATCGTGTGGTGTCTTAGGTTCTCATTGCTTCTTCCAGACTGTAGTGAATATTTCCGCGGGAAGAGGTTTTGGAAATATTCTAGCCATGTGGCTGCAATTCTGACAAACACAGCTAGCTGTTCGTACCTACAAAGAGGCTGTTCGGCTAGCCGGGGGCCGCTCGAAACGGATCTGCTGTCACAGGATCGTGTCAACGCGCCGTGGCGTTCCCCACGCGACAGGCATCTTTGGGGTTGGAGGTCGCCTGGGTACGAAACGATGCCAGACCGACGCTCCTATCGCAGAGGTAAATTGAGTGATGAATACAGAATGCACCGGCGATTGCTCTCCAAATCTTTCCAAATGCTACCCTCTGTCGTGAACTTCGGGTGGTGATCGGCGCTGATTGGGGTGGCAACCTACCGCCATTCCCGTAAAGGGGGCGCTGATTATTTGGGGGCTCAGGGGCGTTTCGTTTCGAATGACTTGGCCCTCGTCTGGTCGGCTGTCTGGCCCGCGATCCAACGTCACCTCTTGTGATGTCTGGTCAGCATTTTCAAAGTGATCATGTCGGGTCGGGATGTTGCACTTCGAGGGATTGAAATCAGAATGTCTTTGAGTTGTGAATTTTGGAAATTGATTCCGCTGTTCTTCATTCGCTAAGCTTCGCTAAGCAGTGCGTGGAGGAGGGTATTTGAGATATCAGCCATTACAACCAAACGGTCCCAAAGCTTCCTAAAGGAAAGTTATCATTATCAACCAGTCCCTTGTTCCCATCAAAAGTCCTTCATTCCCGGACTCATTCGCCGACTCCGCTAAAGACCCTCCACCGATCGGGTCCCGCGCCGGGCTTGGGGTTCCGCGTTCAGCCCCGCAATCCGGACGGCCCCCGAGAGTATCCATCATTCCGCTCGCACCTCCTCCTTTGTTACAGTCGCCGGGCCATTGTCTTGTGGATGGGAATTTCCTCTCAGGAACCTTCTCATGTTTGTCTCGGGACCAAGAAATGCTGTGTAATCGGCGCAAAGAGCACGACGTTGCCAAGCCGCCCACGACGAACTCAGCATTAGAAATTCCCAATTGTTCCGACTCCTCTGAGAGTCCAGGGCCAGCAAAAATAGGAATTATGGGAATGCTCATGGTGTCACCATATACAGTGAAGACCTGATCTAAGGCGAGCTCGCCGTCAAATAGTTTGCCAAGGTTTGTATTACCGACGTTGCGGACTGCTAGTCATCCAGACTATCTTTGACTTGGAGGCCAGTGAACATGGATCGTGACCAACCTAACTCGCCTATTGTGAGTACCGGACAGCCTTGTACACATGTCATCTGTCAAGATGTTAATTTGATATGACGATGTTTGGGGACTTCGGTGACGGTTGAGGATTACATATGGACTCAAGATGCCTAGAAACATGTAGACATGCAATTATGAACACTTCCACATGAGGATGGTGTGTGTCCTCCTTGCTGCTTTCCTGCAATGATTTGATAAAAAAGAATAAAACGCTTAAAAGTGAAGTTAAAAAAAAAAATAATAAAGATCGGGGCATCAGAATGGGGCAAAAAGAAAAAGAAATTGTCTCCGGTCAGACTCGAACTGACGGCCTTCAGCTACCTCATACTATTTAGGAACACGATCTAAGAGTAACATGGGACTGTCGCTCTACCGACTGAGCTACGGAGACTTGTGTCACTGATTGTTGCTGGAAGACATGATCAGATCAGTATATGAGAATTTGGGATGTGAGTCAAGCGAGGCCTTGATCGATAAACAAATCTCAAAGTAGCGTGCTTCAAGGTTCACTTGATCTGTGGTTCGACCAGACGGGTGTGTGTTTGCCATCCAGGTAACGCGTCTTATCCAGGTTACGTCTAGTGACTTAGTGGCATCAAATAATCTTTAACGACAAGGACTGCGATTACAGATCATTTATGTTGACCGCATATTCAAAAGTCATCATCAGCCCATCTCCGTATCAAAGGAATGAGAATCAGGTTGAATCTCAAGGGCGGGAAGGCATGAAATCTACAACATGTCGACAAGAATGGTGTCATCAAGGCGAATGCCTGAGAACAATGAGTTGACGGCTGATGAATAAGTCGGAACTTCGCAAGATACAAGGTGGAAGGCGGGCAAGTTGAATATTTCTTATCGGCTCGTTATAGAAGTTGCTTTATTCGATTCATACCTCCCTTTTATGCCTGCCTATTCTGTATAATATTGGTCTTGAAGGGCCTGAATCGCTAGCATTCTGTTTAGTACGTATAATATTCGTTCGACAAAGGAAACAGGTTGATGACTATTGCAGAAACTTGAGTTGGCAATTGAATGTTGATTACTGACTGAATCTCGCAGGCAGATGATATCTATGAGCGCGAAGACGATTCTCATGTCTCGAGAGCGGTTGCAATCAAATCAACAAGTAGCCAGGGGTTTGAACGAGATCGAGTCGGGAATGCTGTGTATGAACTTGAGAGTTCACGTGGGGCGATAGACACATGCTCATTTCAACTAATGTTGACAGGTTTGTTAGACCTTTGCGTTCGTGGTGAACAGACACGAGGTCACCAGCAACAAAACGTACGCCCGCCCCAGTAAGAGGGCGTCCGAAATGGACCATATTTCATCGCAGGAGAGACATAGAATCCCGATCCTAGGTTTTGAATGTGGTCCGACAGGAGCCACTGGCCAAGTTTATGGGAAGGACTTGCGCTCGCATTATTCATGCCTTAGGATGAATAGCCATTCGACGTGCAAGTTCGTAAAGCCCAGCACGCCCGCTCGTGGGAGGACACTTGTTTGATAAGAACAGCAAAATGGCAAGTATCAATTGTTCCAAGGAAGTACACGCAGATCGTGCCGTTGGTGCAGAGCAAGATGGGACCTTCACGGCCAAGTCTTGTCTCTGCATCGTTTTTACCCGACAACAGGCCTAGAACTTATCCCTCAAGTCGTTAAGCTCTAGAGAAAACACAGAAGTCCGCACGTAGACTCAAGAGGCTCGGCGGGTTCGATATTAAGGCTTCTATAATTGAACGAGGCCAGCCGACAACAAGCTTGTCTTGGCACTTTATCGCTCTTACACTCAATTCGCAACTCAGTCGTCATCCTCCACGAACCACTCGGCTCTTCTCCAGATCCCACATCGCCATGGCACCGCCACATCTGCCATCTTTGAAAAAACATACCAAAAAGAGAGTTGGTTGCATGAGCGAGTTCTTTTATTCTTTTGTGGAGTCCCGCACGCCATCTCAAGTTTCAAAGTTACCGCCCCCTTTACCCCTAAACCCTGAAACCCCAACGACCGCGGCCGTCTGCCCTCTTTTATTTTTCTGCCTCTCTCTTTCTCGGAAACCTGAGACGTCGCCCTAGCCAACAGGGAACACCCATCTGCCAAGTCCACGTCAGCCCGAACGTCATTCCCATGAAGCTGCACGAGCCACACGAGATCAAAATCTGGCATTGTTCGTCTGAGGTTGACCGTCGGGATGTGGGCGACACACAGGAACTCCCTGCCTTGCGTCGACTGGTACGGCCGGCGGCTCCGTGTTGCTGGTTATCGCGAGGGAGCCCTTCGAGGCAAGCAGGGCCGGCCCAGCGATTTTGGACTCCGTCCCCCAAAATGATGCCGTCGCTGGTCGCCGTTGCCATTGAGCTTACGCGGGCTGAGCAGACATGAGACGACCAGGGATGCTCTCTCCCCCTCCTTTGCAACGTTCTCAGCCCTTTTTGGGCCGTCAACAACGCCACTGCAGTGCTTTATTCGGAATGCTTGGATACCAGGAGGACCAGTGAGAGGGAGGCGGACGCGAGTCAAATCCACTTTAGACCACACGATGGGATGACAGGGCTGTCAAATTGAGTCGGTTGATCATGAACGTGCGGCCGGCTCGGCATTGCTTGTATAAAGATCTGCGGCTCTTCTCTGGCGAACACCATCTGCCCTTCACCAGCAGCTTTACACTCTCTCTACAGCTCTATCCATCCACCTCTCCGACTCGTTCATATCAAAGATACCCAATTAGAGCTTCAAACATCACAACCGAAATCCATATTCAAAATGAAGTTCATCATCTCCTACATCATGCTCGCTCTCTGGTAAGTTTCAGCCTCTCACCACAGCAATATGAGCATGTATCTAACTAAAGTTCCCAGCTTCGGCCTCGGCCTCGCACAACAAGGCACCATCCAATGCCAGTGCAAAGCAACCCTCAGCACGTCGGTCATCAGGACCGGCGGCCGCCAGCTCTGCAGCCAACGCGGCGGCATCCTCAGCGACGACAACGAGCTCTGCACCAAGCTGCCGGCGAGGTTCACCGACGGGGACTGCCAGACTCTGGGAGACTCTTTCTTTGCTAGCTGCGGGTCTGCTCGTTCCGAGCTGAAGAGGGGAATCTACAAGCGCGAGGTCGTGCCTCTCTCCTCGAGGCCGATTGTGAGGAGACTGTCCAACTTCTAAAAGTACAAAATATTCATGACGGATACCGCTACGACCAATTCCTTCTGCCTGTTTTCTAGATTTCAAAACCATTTCTCTAGCGCACTCTTCAATTCATCAACATCAGCTTCTGAACCTTCTTCCACTGCCCACGCAACGAATCCGTCTGGCCGAATCAACAAAGCACGGATTCCGCGCCTGTCTTCCACCTCTTCTCCGATGTAGTCGAGCCTCTTTGCGTACTTCTCTGTGACCAAACCCTTCAACGCGCCATCGTCTTCAAAGTCGATGAGCATTCCACGGCCAAGCTCCATTTTTGGCCCCAACCTCGTGCCGTCCTTGAACGTAAAGTCCGGGGCGCTTCGTCCTGCGGCCGGATGCACGTCGCTGCCGAGATCATACCGCTGCGAAAGGCCCCAAACCCGGTCGATGAAATGATTGGCGCCGTCGTCGGTCGCGATCAGGTCGCGGACGAGCTTCTGGACGGCGTACCCGGTCTCGTTCGGCTGCAGCGCCGCAACCTGCGACCGATTCCACTCGAGGACGAACTCTCCAATCGGATACCTCTCCCTCTCATACGTATCAATCAACTCAAAGTTGGCCTTGCCGTCAGGGCTTTGCTGCTCCTGTCGGACCGAGGCAGCCAGCTTCCAGCCCAGGTTCATAGCGTCGCCCAGCCCGCAGTTCATGCCCTGGCCCCCGAGAGGGGGGTGTATGTGCGCCGCATCCCCGGCGAGGAGCACCCTCCCCCTGCGGTACGTCGTCACCTGCTTGCTCCGGTCCGTGAACGGCGTCGCGAGGTGAATATTGGTCATCCGCACGTCGTCCGGCTTGCCCGTGACGCGGTTCAGGATGTCCTGCAGCCGCTCCAGCGAGTGCTCCGCCTTCTGCCCCGCGCCGCCGTCAAAGTCCATCAGGTACACCATGTCGGGCTTCCTGAAGATGTACATGCCGTGCCGCGTGGGCACGAACCCCGGCACCAGCCTTTCGGGATGATCCAGGTCGCAGTGGACGACGTACCCGGTAAAAGTCGCTTCCGTCCCGGAGAACTCGAACCCTGCCGCCTTGCGGATCGCGCTCCGGCCGCCGTCGCATCCGACGAGCCACCGCCCGCGGAAGTTCTGCCCTTCGTCTCCTGCCTCCACCGTGATCCCGCTCTGCGTCTCCTCGACGATCCTGTTGAACCCATGACCCCTGAGGATCGTGACGCCCAGGCTCTCCGCCCGCTCGGTGAGGACAGCCTCAATGCGATCGATCGTGATGGGGCCCGGCATCAGCGATGGGCCCGGGAGGCGGTACTTCCAGCGATTCAGGTCAAGCTGATTTAGGTTCAGAGGGATGCCTGCGAAGTGGCCGCCGAATTGCATCCCGGGCCCTTTCGGGGGTGTGTGGGGCCGGTTGGTGAGGTCGTAGAGCTTGCCGAGGAGGCCGCGGCGGTAGAGCAGCTCAACGGAGGGGAGGTGGAGCCCTCGGAAGCCGACGGGATTGCTCTTCCACTCGGACTCGGGCTTGGCGTCCCGTTCCATGATGAGGACGGATCCGCCTGCTAAGGCTACTTCGCATGCCAAGAGGAGGCCGACGGGGCCCGCGCCGGCGATAATGACATCGTAAAGCTGGGTCATTTCATCAATTGTGAACCGGTTGTTATGAGGAAAGAGAGACAATGTTGACAAGTATGAAAACGCTGAAATGAACCCAGTGTTTCGTGTTGTGGATTAAAAGAGTATTTATACAAGACACCACAGAACTCACGTCTGGCATCTGAGGCATTGAAATCGGGCCCGAGTCTCCTTTGCTGACAGGATCCTTGGTTGAAAGCCACACCTCTCGGTCCCGACGTCGTGTCGCCGCATACACATGTTCTTCGCGTCTGTCACTGGGCTGGGCTTTGTGGCGCACTAGCATGGAATGGTCTCATTCGGGGCAATTCGGGCATTTCGTACCTTAGAAAAGTCCAACAAGTAAGAATCACTGGCAAGTTCGCCCGAAGTGCGGGAAAGGTTGGGTTGGTGACTGAAACATGCATCAACAGGCAGAAGCTTTCGCATCCTGCTGCGGCGTCCCGTCCTAGCCGCTCGCTCTTCCGACTACCCGTCCCGTTCGGGCGCCGAGTGCGCCGCTGTGAGCTTGTACGGAGCCATCGCTCCACCGATCCGACTCGACTTTGAATGTAATCCTCGGTACTTTTGGTTCTCTGGGATTGAAAGTTGTTTTCATTATCCGTGGTAGGCGCGTTCAATCATTATTGCATGTTTCTAACTCGTCTCTTTGTCGCCTGTGTCTCATTGCCCACAATGCCCACCTCACAATATGGACCGATCAGCGAGAATGCTGAACAGCGGGTGCTTCACCTTGGTGACAGCCATCCAACCGTCCTCTGGTATCTCGACGATTGTTCCGTCAATGCAGACCTTGCGCCAACGAGGATCGCTTTCCCCGATCGTCACCCTGATTTCCTCCGCATCCTCATAGCCGACGTAGTCTTCCTGCTCCCCATCCTTCCACTTCATGCCCACGTGCGAGCCCTGCTTATAGGCAGCCATCATGATCTCCATCGTCTTCTCCGCTCCCACGGCGCCAAAGTGAACCAGCTTCAGCCGGCCTTGCAATGGCCCACTGCCGGGCGAGATCGTAAATGTCTTCTCCAGGTTCGACACCATCGCCGCCAGCGCATAGCCGTACTTTTCTCTCGGCAACGGCTTGAGCGCGGCGCCGTCCGGGCTTCGAACCTCGACCTTGGCGGTGTACGCATGGCTCTCCTTGAGCAGCTCCTGTGCGACCATGCCGAAGCGCTTGTCTCCATGCTTGCGGTACTCGGGCGTGTCGCTCTCCCAGACAAGCTGGGCGTGAAAGCCGTAGCTGGCTACGAGGGCTCCAAAAAGGTGTTCAACACTATCGTTGCGGAGGCTGACGTCCTCGGGTTTCTCGGCGTCAGGTTCCGGAGTGTACGTCACCAGCCGGGCGCCGGGGGAGAAAGAGGCACGGAAGCTGGGGAGCGGGGCGGCCGTGCCGAAGAAGAGCGTGCGGAGGCCGAGCACCATGTGTGACGGTCCGTTCTCGGTGTAGAGAGGCTTGTGGGATGAGTGAAAATTGGAGTTGCCGGTGCCGAGAGGCAGAACGGCGATGGTCGGAAGGGCAGTCGGCGTCTCCGTTTCTTCGCATCCGTTGAGCAAGTCGACAACGCCACCATCGCCGCTCATCAAAACAATCAACTCGGACTTGACGGCAGAAGCATCCGGCTGATTTTGCGTCCTTGAAGCCCAGTTGTCTTTTGCAAAGTTGCGAACGCTGTCGGCGTCTTTGGTGATGAGAACGTTGAACCTGTCAGACAGGCCATTGCTTTGCGATGACATGCCGCCTGGTGCTTTTTGATCCGCGAGAATGACCAGGGGCTGGACCACATTGTCCCAGAATTTCGGAGCATGGCCCAGGCCAGACTTTGTGGAAACGATGAAGTGAACATCGTGGCGGCTTGGTTGAGGATTGAGGTGGTCGGGGAATTGCGAGAGTAGGAGGCCGTCAGTGAGCTCCGGGGGCAGGTCGCCGGCAACAAAGAAGATATCCAGCTGATACGGAAATTCCTTGGCTTCAGGGTCCTCTCTCAGTGCGCAGATAATGGGACCCGAGCTGAGGTGAGGATTCGGCGGGATGATGAAGACAATCTCCTCCGGGCGTACGGATTCACTGCCGCGCTGGGATGTGAAGCTCAGCTTGCCATCGACGAAGGTGGCATCGAGGGCTCGGCGGGGTACCAGCCCGTGGTTGCGGGGTTCAAAACCCAGAGGCTCTGCAACATCCATCGTGCTATGGGGAGGCAGTGGATGACTCTTTCTGGTCTCTGCTGTCCAACAAGATTCCTGTCTCAATTTCAGTGGATTGCAGTTGTGGAAGGCAAGTTATCGCCGGCACGTTGAGAGTAGAGATCGGGACCTAAGGTAGGTAGCTCCCAGGCAGCCACTCGAGACAGCACACAAAGACTGTCAGCCCGTTCAGGCAGGTGCCGGTATCTCTGTTATCCCTGGGACTCGGAGCAATGTCTCGGTGTGAGGTCGAAAAAAAAGCCGGCTGCGCTGGAAGCCCTGGTGGTAAGGTAAGGTACGTCTTACTTCCAACTCCGAGCGAACGAACAGGAAGCCGCAGCGAGAGTGGGAATTGTAAGCAAGCATGCAGCCCAAAGGTCCGGTTGCACGGCATGTGCCTGTCCAAGTGTGTCATCCGCCCGCTGATTGCGTTATTTCTGGCACACCCAACCCTGGTGTTGTAGTGAGTTGCCCACTGCAGCGGCTGTACAGGTGGGGTAGATCTCGCAATCTTGCCCGTTATCTTGGGCCCCTAAGTCGCTGGAACCTGTGCCCATCAGCGGCCAGCATCGCCGAACCAGTCACGGCACCCTACGCCCGCAGCTACCTTTTAGTCACACAGGGCCGCCTGAGCACCAGAGCCCGCCAGACAAGAACCGTCCCATCCACAACGTACCTTCACAAAACAGCACACAATTGCGTGCAACTCCAGAAAACATAGCGGATAGCAGCTAAAATGAAAGATAAATAACATTGGCCATCGAAACAAAAGTAATGTCATACCAAAATGATGGGAGCGGGGTTCGAACCCGCGCACTCTCTCGAGTAACAGAGCTTAAATCTGTCGCCTTAGACCACTCGGCCATCCCACCCCTTCAATCTGAATTGGGTTATTTTAGCTGTTGAATGCGGGCTATACGGTGCGCGGCATTTTTGGTTGCGCGGCTTACCCATGCGGGTCGCGAGGGGCGAAGCCGAAGCCAAAAGCCCACCTTCGCGCATCCATGGTGGGGGACCGCTGCGAACCGAAGAGTCTCGCCAAGTCCTGAGAAAGGAAGTCTGTTGACCTTGTCCGTTGGCGCCGGATTCTGCTTGGTTGAAGGGCGCCGAACGAGAATGGCATCTCGACATGGCTGACGAGCTCCGGGTCAGCATCTTCCATCTTCTCAAGTTCGAAGGCTCCAGCAGTGACGGAAATGACGCAAGGTCAGGGCAGGGCAAGCGGGGGAGAGGTTTACCTCGCAATTCAAATTCTTACTCTCAACTCTGGTATTCTGTTCTGCCTCCAAAGTATCGACTTTAAAAACCCCCAGCTTCTCTTTTTCGCTTTCGTCCATCACTGCCCTTTGGCTCGCGTCATCGGGCCCCAGTTCTCTCTCGGGTTCATCTGGTATCTGACCAACTTCTTCCCCTGCGTGCGCTTACCCAGCTGCGCGAGCTTCTCGTCAAACACGAGCGTCTTCCGTAGCTCCTCCTGCGAGGCCGCCTTCTCCTCGCCCTTCTCGGCCGCCTTCGCCGTTTCCTCCGTGCTGTCCTGCATCTCGACGTCCTTCCTGTCCCCTTCCTCGGTCACCCCTGCCTTCTTGGCCTCAGTCGGGTTGGCTTCTTCAGTTTCCTTGATCTCGTCGGCCGACTTGGCATCGCCGTTCTTCTCGGCCTTGTTCAGGCCCAGCAACGTATATGCCGGCATCTGCGGGTTGATCTTGTCGGTGCGGACGGGGGCCTTCTGGCGAACCCACTCCCGCATGATGAACCAGATAGCCTCCCACGGCGCGTCCGTCTTGACGCTGCCAGGCCGGCAATGGCTGCGCGTGACACGGTAACCGAGATGTCTGAGTGCGCCCCTAAAGACATCATCCGGAGGCTGCTGTGTATGGAGCGTGCCAGCCAACTTGCTGGGCATGACAAAGAAGGGGTAGTGGTCGATCCTCGCGAGCTCCTTGTCCTTGGGATCAACCGCTTCCACGGGCTCCGGGCCAGGGATGTACTCCTCGAGAGCCGTCTGAAGCATGCCCTCTATTCTCGTGGTCGTCTGGTAAACACTCTTGTCGACCGTGGGAATGAGATCGAGAATGCGCTCAATGAATTCCGAATTGTGCAACGGGCCGCCGTACATCGGTCCGGCAATGTGCTGCGCCGAGCCGCAGTGCTGGCAGTGTGAGTCCGTCGGAGGACCTTGAGACAGGCCATGCTTGTAAAAGTATCCATCCTTCTTCTTTGGGTACGGGCGAGTCCGCACCATGGGCTGCGTCTCCCATGCCGAGCAGCCAGGGCAGTTGTACACAATCATCGTCTTGCCTCCCTGGTAGTTGACCGCGTCCTTGGACTTGCGGACCTTGACGAAGATGCGGCAGTAAAAGTCGATGGACAGCGACAGCTGGGGCTCGATGGTCAGACCGTACTTGGCCGCCGCGGTCGTCAACGCGTGAATGATGATGCGCAGACCAACTTCGTGAGAGTGAAGACCCTTGATGGGGACACCGCCGTACAGCGAGAAGCTCTTCTCAGCATAGCAGTGGCCGGCCCAGTGGCTGGCATCGGTGCAGGTGACGCAGAGCAGACCGCCGTCGTCCCTGACTGCCTGCACGGCAGCGTCGATGAACGGGGCAGCAGTTCCGTAAGGGTCGAGATCGATGACATCGTACTTGTTCTCCTTGCTGGGGTTGCCGAAGCGGTCGCGCTTCGAGAGGTCGTCGGCGATGCGCCTGTACATGTGGGCGATGGCATCGTCGTGGTTCGCCTGGATCTTGTCTTCCAGCCCGTTGTGCTTCGCATTCAGCTTGATCGACTCAACAGCGGACTTTGTCAAGTCGTTGGCCGTGACAGACGTCACGAACGGCAACTCATGCGAGTAGCGCAGCGCACGCAGTCCAGAGGCTGACAGGGCATCGAGGATGGTGAACTTGGGGGCCTTCTTCTCGGGAGCGGACTTGTCTTCGGCGTCCTGAGGCTCGGTAGCGGCAGCCGGGGGTGCGACCTCCTCATTCTCGGCCTTAGCATCGTTAGCAGCGCCGCTTTCTATTTGCGCACTCTGCGCTTCGCCGTTCGTTGTCTCCGCCGGCTTGCCGTCGTCCGTTACCTGAACCTTGGCCGGCCTGTCACCGCCGTCGTCTCCCGCGGCGCGCCGCCTCTTCTTCTCCTTGCGCTTGGAAGCCGGCTGCGCCGCGCGACGCTCAACCACTTCCTCGCCATAAGCCCTGATGGCCAAAACCGAAAGGTCGCGGTTGAATTGCTGAATCGGGTTGTAGAAAACCTGCTGCTTCCCTTGCTTTCCCGCGGCCTCAACAGGGACCAAGATGGTGGCTTTGCCCTCCTTCACGCCCTTGAACTCCTTGCCATCGTAAGTGATGACGGGGTCTTCCGCGCCCATCTCTTCAATTTTCGGGTCCTCGCCGGCTTGAGTGCTGCACCGTCTGGCTGAAGGAAAGCTGCCCCTCAAAATGAGACGAGTATGAGATGCGATAAGGCAATCCGTGCGACGCAATAGACCGGATGTCCTCAGTGGGAGCTGTTGTTGTAGTAGCCTGCTCGCAGCGCGTGTGCCTTGGCGAGTACCTCCTCGTATGTATGGAATCAACATGCAGACATGTAATGCGATTGAGCGTTCACAATTTTTGGGTCGGCCTTGCTTTGATCTGTCACTGAAGTCAAAGGTCCTACAGGTCCGCGAGAGAAATTTCAGTGGGTCCGTATATTCTGCCGAAGGCGGTGAGTTATTCGGCGACGAACTGCACCGAGGAACCTTCACAACAACAACTTCGTCTCAGCTACAGGCATACTCGGTAGACTTTCTCATTATCGTGACTTCTCTGCCACTATTACGAACTCCAAATGAGACGTTGGTTTCCCTATCACTAAAATACATGGCCACTTTTTGTCGCCTCCAAAAAAGCACGAACACTCCTGTCCCTTCCGATGCGTAACTAAAGCTCATCGATAATGCAAGTTTCTAACAGAATGCTCCCTCTCAAATGTGATTGCGATGTCTTTTCTACTTCTCCTTATCCTTGTCTCCGGCTCCAGCATTGGCTGCCGACGCTGATGCAGAAAGCCTGGAGGCAATCACTGAGCCGCGGCCGGTATTGCCAGGTGCCTGTCCTGGTGTGCCCGGCTGACCCTCTTTCTGGCCCTTCTCGGGAGCCCGTTGACCGCTTTGAAGAACTGAACTCGGGGTATATACCGCCGGAATGTTGGCTTGAATTGTTTGTTTGGCCTCCCAGTAGAGATCGAAGCACTGGATGAGGGCCTGATCAACTGTCATGTCTTCGGGGACAACACCAGTGTCGAGAACCTTCTTGATGTGGTCCTCAACTTCGCTAAACTCCGCTTGGTCGGAACGGTAGCGATCGGGCAGGCCACTGTTGTGCAGAAGGGCGAGAATGCCAGCATTGATAGTGTTGCTCGCGGCAATGATGGTGATCGGTGTACCATTTTTGAAGGACATGGAGCCGATGGCGGTGAGGACAGCGCCCAAGATGATTTGCAAGATGTATCCGAACCAGCGGATGGTGCTCATGCCGTGGTAGAAGTAGAAGTACTTGGTACGGTGCCAGATAACGTCTCGGTACAGACCGCTGGGAATGCCCTTGGGCGGGTAGTACCAGCAGGTGGGATGGAGGGCGACATGGCCTTCAGTGTCTTTGACGCCACCGATGCCATGAGCGAAGATGGCCCACTCTGATGGAGTGAGGAAGCGGTACCTGATGCGGCGATGCTTAGGCCTCTTGGGCGGGGCGTTGGTCTGAGGCTGGAAGAACCCCGTGAGCGTGTCCAAGGCTCCCTTATCCTCTTCCTCCTTGACGGCCGACTTCCCAGCGTCATTTTCGGCCTGAATCTCCATCTCTTCCTCTCGCTCGGACTCGATGCCGTCAAGTTGCAGAGGGGGAAGCTCTCTCATGATTGCTATCTGGACAGCACGCTGTAAACGAGTGAGTTGTGGTTTTAGGGAAAGTCGGTGTCTCTGATGCGCGCTGTCAGTGGCTTGACAGCTCTCGGCAATGTGTAGACTTACCTGTGTAGACCAAAAGGTGCCAGCGTATGAGGCTAGTCGCTGAAGGATTGCCGATGATGAAGGGAGAAGACGACGAGGGAGACGATCGTCGAGGACGCCGAAGGGGAACGACGTAAACACATGTCTGGCAGGTACGTCTGGGTATGATGCCTCAACGGAGGCGAGAACAGTCCATGATTTTGAGAGGCAAGAGCACATGTGTCGGCAAGAATCACTTTTACAGCAAGAGGTGTCCAGTATTTTCTCCTCGAGGCAAGTAGCTTTCGCGGCACCACCTGCAAATTATGTGAGGAAGCAGCTACCTTCCGTCTGCAATCGACGAAGAGTCACTTGCAATGAAGTGACGGGTGTATCTAGACCATCCAGTATCAGGATACCCCAGTACGGGAAAGATGGTGTCTCCCTAAGCAACACTTTCAAGACCTCTCCTACCGGTTGGCGTACCCGCTCATGCCTCACAATTTGCTCCTTTTTGTCATTTCCGTCAAGAACAGCAACTACTGCCGGGTATTGAACGACTCCCGCGGCCTGCGTAACCGACACCGTTGGTGACCACGCAACGCCGTTCGGTACATGTCATTATAAAGGTTGCCGGGCTTGTTATCGTCTCTCAGTGTCTGAAGTGTGCAATGAGACAGCTTTTCACTCGAAATAATCACCAGTGACCCGATATAAGAGCTTGAGACTTCTCGGCTGGATCGGTGCCATAATGATGCACCATGTCCAGACAAGCACATGGCGTGCGTTACAAACAAGGGCGTAATTATGTTTTTTTCTTTTTTAAAGCGTACTGTTGCGAGGAGAAGACGCATCGGCCAACACATCACTGCACATTATCAATTGTCCCCACGTAGACGGAACTAATACGTTGGAAAGAGCACTTAGAGAGCTCTGCAGACCTGGCCTCCATGTTCAACATCTCGCCGGACTGACGGGCATCTCTGGGTAAGTCTATTTCAAAGCGTGTTGCGTCGCTTACACGCTTGCCGCGTCGCTTACACGCTTGCCATCACCCGAGGACATACGCCCCAGACTTGAAGCGCAGCTCAGTGACATCAATAAGTTAGCAAAGTTGACCCAGAGATTGCCAAAAGCTCCTGTTGTATCGGATGAAGAAGCCGAATGACTTGCTCAAGGAGAACATCAGAAACGAGTCTCCCCGCCTTCTTTCGACGGAAGATATTCCGATGCTAGAACGGGTCAAAGTAGCGAGTCCACGCAGGAATCAACTGAGCCTGCTCTCAGAGATTGGAGGGATTTCTCGATACGGTAAACGGAAGACCCTTGCACATCCGTTCAAAGTGCACCGCAGATCCGGATTACTTGTTTTGGACGAACTCCTCTCATATATTGCTTCAACTTGGGATGCAACGCACACTCGGGAGGAACCCAGATTGCTGGGACAGACTCAGAGCAGAACGCTATCCGACTCCGAAGCTCGTCGGCAAGTGTATCAAGCCGCGCCGGGTCGGTGAAGAGATCCGGCAAGATAGATAGTGAGTTGCTTTCGCTGCCCTGTATGCTACCCGACATGGAGATCAGCGTTCTACCCCGGGCCGCAATTCCCTGAAACCTGCGCCGCATATTCGCAGACCGCAATGCACCCCGCACAAGGGGCAACTCGCTACGGGTTCCGGAATGGAGATACCGGAAGATCTTAGATCGCGGGGGCCTTCAATAGGCCGGGCGACCGAAGCGGGTAAAGGTGTTCACCGAGTTGCCAGTGAAAGCCGACATGGTGTTGTAGAGGAGCCGGTGAGGCAGTTGTGGTGTGCACACATGGCCGGGAGCGAGGGAGATTAATCGGATGAACCCCTTTCAAAGGTGGTGTGATGCTATATCCTCAGCATTGCAGCTAGGCATATCGGGCATCTCGACTTCCCGGGGAAACAAACTACACGGCATGTCGGAATTCAATTCGGGAAGTGCAAGTCCTCAACTGGAACATTGTCACTCGCAGGGTTGCTTCAAATTGGTTATTCTTGGGGGATTGGGGCAATCAAACGGACCTGACGCCAAACAAATTAAGGAAGGCCGGGAAGAAGCAGCGGTCGAATGTTCGATTGGTTGGTCCTCGCATCGAGGCGATGTGCCCATGGACGCTTGGCTCGTATCGATGCAGGTCCAGGACGACTGCGGCGCGGCGAGGATGGTGAGGGAGCGGGTACTAAAGCCACACCGTTGCGAGGATGTGTCCGGGGGAACACCGCTGGGGTTGGGGTCAGGAGAGGGCCGAATTGGACGATGAGCGGCGGATAGATGCGGGAGTGAGAACGAATAGCGTAAAGGAGACGACGACGGCGAGCGTGGAGAGCGAGCCGGATTTCCCTTCTGGTTGCCTATACGGGGAAGCCGGGACCCTCGGCGGCAACAGAGGGAGGAAATGAAGACACAATGGGGTGATCTGGGGCCGTGTTGCTAATAACTCGCTTCTTGGAACTGGCGAGGTTACGACATGGTTGGCGACGGAGGCTCCTTTGCGCGCATAGAATGTCGGGTTTTCCGCCACCTTTTGGTTTTGGGGTCCGGGGGAATGGGGAAGAAACGAGGGCTCTGATTGAGGCGGCAAGGCAAGGATAACCAGGCTATGGACAGTCGACGGTTATCGTGCTATCGGAGGATGAGCGACGACGGGCCGTGGTCTACTATGTAGGTGTTCACCTTGGGTAGGTAGGTACAGTAGGGGAGCAAGGTGTGAACAAACACGCCATTCGGTGATGGCGGCTGCAGTTGCAGGGCGTCGTTCCCATTCATCGCTCATGCGCATGGCGGATCTTTTGTACGCTGAATCCCAAGCGGAGAAAAGCAAATTGCTAGAGACAAGAACGGCTGAGAGGGCTGTGAGAATCCAGTTCAGATTGGGAAAGAGGAAGCACCGAGACCATACCATGTCGCCATTTCCAAGCCCCCTGTCCAGCTATCATGCCCTGATTTCTGGGGTTGGGGAGCTTGGGGCTCGGGGGCCTTGGGAGGGTCCACGTCTGTTTGGAGATGGAGTGGGAGAGCATGGAGGGGCCCCAGGACAGGGCAGGGCAGGGCATATTGCGCCGAGAATGCCCTGCCGGCTCAAGTCAGGGACTTGCAGGGCTGGGCTGTCTGACGGGCCTGGCCTCGGGAGATCAATCATGACTGTCAGAGACTCAACCAGAGTCAAGACGACCACGGCCCACGGCCACGACGAGGAGGAGGAGGAGGAGGAGGAGGAGGAGGAGGAGGAGGAGGAGGAGCGTGGAAGGAGAGGGAAGGGTCCACGTCCACTCCGGAGCCGGTGCTCGGGCCAGGGCACCGAGACGTGGAAGGTACTTCCCGGAGGATCCCCTGTCTGGGGCACATCTTTCGATGTTTCCCCACAGATAAGG